TATGACATATTTGATGGAATTTTGAGGACCCTCCTCAAAAATTTGTCCCGGTCTAAAATTTATAAGAACTCTTATAATTTGCTCTGTTAACTCTGAGGTTGCTCATTCTGGAATTTTGAGGCCCCTCCTCAAAATTTGTCCCAGTTTATCTCAATAAGTAACAAATGATATTTGTGGAATTTTTGAGATCATCTCAAAAATTCTGTCCCAGTTGCAAGCTAGATTGTCGTAATTTTTGAGATCCACCCAAGGCTAATCTCTGTAGAATTTTGGTCTTCTTTTTTGACTTTGATAAAGAAGTCCAACTTCCAATGAATTTTTGAGATCCTCTCAAAAATTCTGTCCCAGTTTCCATTATGGAGAGAAATAAAAATCTTCTGGGTATATGACCGAGCCGTTGTGGCGCCTACGTATCCCGTTGAATCATGAATCAGGTCAAATGTAGTTCCAACCGTAGAAATAATAAAGGGGGTAAATGGGGTGACCGAAGCCGACATAGGCCGCCTACGTATCTCGTTTCTCGAAAATTCAGGTCAGACGTAGTTCAAGAAAAGTGCGATATATTTTCAAAAGAAAGGTAACAAAACTTCATATGTAAAATTTGGCCAATGTTGGGCATTCTTCTTCTCGATCTTTGATGATGAATATCTTTAAACGACTTAATTCAAAAATGTCTTGTACTCACTCTCGAGTATCCAATATGTCATCCATTCATGTGGTTTCCTCAATATTGATCAAATTGTTGTTGATCATGTTTTATACCTTGTGCTTCAGAGTTGAACAATTCTCTGTGTCATGTCCAACGGCTCCTGAATGATAAGCACATCTGTGGTCAGCTCTGTAAAATTTTCCCAAAGGATTGGCTGGTCTTCCTTCTATAGGATAGAGCATACCCATTGCTTTCAACCTTTCGTAAAGTTGAGTTTGAGACTCCTTTAATGGGGTAAATACCTTAGGGGCCTTCCTGAATTTTAGGCGAGGAAATTTTTCCTGACTGACATTATGGTTTTGATATTTCCGTTGAGAAGCTGACCTCGTATGAGTAGCCGTGATCATGCTTACCTCCTCCACTTTTCCTTTTGATTTATCCATATCACTGATTCTAGCAGATTTTCCATTAGATCGCAATGCGGTAAGTCTGATGAGCTTTCCAGTCTTGAAACCATCTTCCAAAGCTTCTCCCACTTTGACAATCTCGACAAACTTTTGTTCCATCATACACAACATTCTTTCATAGTACTCGGGCTCTTGAGTACGAATGAACATTTCGGTGATCTCACGCTCGGACATTGGAGGTTGAACTCTCGCAGCCTCTTTTCTCCAACGAAAAGCGTACTCTCGATAATTTTCTGTAGACTTCTGTTTGATCTTCTCCAAGTAGTAGCGATCTGGGGCATCTTCTATGTTATGCCCAAATCTTTCCGTGAAATCCTTTGCGAGTGCATTCCAACTTTTCCATTGTTTCAGCTCCTGTGATGTAAGCCACTCCAGTGCTTCTCCACTTAAACTTCGACTGAAGAGACGCATCAACAATGCTTCATTTTTGCCAACTCCCACGAGTTGATCACAATAAGCTTTCAGATGTGCTAGAGGATTTCCTATTCCATAAAAAGTGACAAACTTTGGCACTTTGAACCCTTCTGGAAGGTCGAGATTCGGATGGATGCATAAGTCCTTATAGCTCAATCCATCAACTTCGGAAATATAGTGCAACTCCTTCATGGCTTTCCTGATCTCTTCTTTCATATTCAGCTTGACTACCTCTTCTTTTGACCTCCACTCTCTCTCCTGTTCCTTATAGTGATCAAGCTCGGAACAGTCGGCATAAGGTTCATTTGAAGTTGGGATTTGGAAAGTAGTCTTTTGAGGTATGGTTGGAACAATGGAGAGATTCTGGGTATTTTGATAATTTTGGGAAAATTTTGAGGATCAACATTTTGGTTTTAAAGATGGGGGAAGGTTTGAGCATTGTTCGTATTTTGGTTTTGAGTGAGCTGAAGGATTTAATTGGTATTATGAGGATGATGTGGTGCTTGACACGATGTGGTGGCGTGATGGGGATTGGGGATAGTTGAGTCAATGGTTGGAGGATTTTGAGCAGGATTAGAGAGAAGGTCCTGAACCAGTTCCGCGTTCGAGGGAGGAAAGTAGAGTGGAGGTCTTCCGTCTCTTGGAGGGTTGAAGGATAAAATTGGATTAGGCAAATCTCGCATCCTTTGCATTTCGACCCTCATTTCGTCAATCTGTTGCATCAATTGCATAATCGATTCATTTTTATCAGCAGCGGCGGGTTGAGCCACGACAACATCACTCACGTCAATCTCCTCATTGTTATCCCCCATTGCTGTCTTTTCTTTTTGCAAATTTTGATCGGGGAAGGAATTTTTTGGGGCCTTAAACCTTGTGAAATACGGATGATCAACCAACACAGATCAGTTTTAAATACCTGACAAATGAAAAAACTCAAAAGAATAATATGTTAGTGTCTGGAGGTGGTAAATAATACAAGAATATCACATATAGGTGAAAACACATAAGAGTTGTTTTATCCGGAAATAAACTAGCTCACCAACATAGAGAAATGATTAAATAGACAGGAATTTGTCTACTTGACTTCGAGATTAGCGAATAAAAATGTCGACCCGAATCGAAACAAAGTTGACGGTATCTTCCATTACCGTACTTTGATTTTGATTGAGATGTAACTCCAATTTCTTTGTAAGAGTCGAGAAAGATAAAAATTTTCAAAATTCTTTTGATTTGAAATGATGAATCTTTTCTGATACGAGAGTAGTACTAAAGAAAGCTTCTTTTTGTTGTTTTTTTTTTTTAGGAAACTAAAGACTCGAAGAGTATTTGGACGCACTTTTGATAGTGACTTGATATTTGTGCTTACAGGTTCTAAAAGTATTTGAAAAGGAGTGAGCTAGAATATCTCCAGATAAAACAACATATTCACATAAGCAGTTGTAACACGTAAACAAATATTACGCATACTAAACAGATATGTGACCCTTTTCTGTCAAGGGTAGGCCTAGCACATTCGAATGATGCGTCGTGAGGTTGAAGACCTTAGACGCGATTTGGCGGATTTTCTACTAAAATGGACTTAATATGCCTTGGGTACTAAGTCGTCCTAGGCTGATGCCTAAATCGATTTTGGTTTCGCTCTATCTTAGGCTTTCTAGAGTTGTTTTCAAATACGGTTACCCGAGTCGGACAAACATCGGGGTGGAGCTATCGAATAACGTCGGATGACCGCATTCCGACTATTTATTCGATACTCCCAAATGAGTTCTTGGGTATTTCTGAGAGAAGTTGCGGTAAGCCGCGTAACTTCCGTTTCCTGACGCAACTAGTTGCCGTTTGGCGGAAGTTATGCCATGAGAAAATGCAATTTCTAAAACTATACAATTTTAAACAATTAAACAAGTTAGTCAAATAGAGTTAGTCTTAGGGTGAGAATCCTCCGTTCCCCAGCGGAGTCGCCATTTCTGTTTTATCAAAAAATTGATTTTCGAAAAGAGTTCGTTTTATTTTAAAGTATTTTCGACTTTTAGGAGTCGCCACTTAATTTTTTAAGAAAAATCAAGAAAACTTATTTCCAAAACAACTTAAACAGAAAAATTTGTTTTGAAAATATTTTAGGAGGGTTCGAGATTCCTATTAGCGTCTTAGGAAGGTGTTTAAAGCACCTAAGACGCTCCGCTAACTACGATTTTCCGACGATTAACTTATTTGACTATTTTGTTTTAAAGACTTGCAAATTTTGAACTTCTTAAGATATCTAGGCAAACTTTATAAGTTTCGAAATATTTACTTTGCAAAATCATTTTTTAAGGCTAAGGCACTTTATATTCAAACAAACTTGTAGAATATTAGCTTCAACATTTCGCTAAAGTTGAACTTTTTTAAACTTTTACTCTAAGCAATTTTTCCAAACTTAAACATCTATCTTTCTTAACACTTAAAATTTAATTTTAATCTTGATAAAAGTAGAGAGGCATTTCGACGGGGATTTGGAGTTTTCTAATCCTAACTCTAACGATACTTTAAACAAACGCACATAAGCAAGTAATAAGGAGAGAGAGAAGAGAGAGAGAGATTTTGGGTCCAACTTCGGTTCTGTTCGCCTTGACCGAATGTTGGACCCACCCTGCTTTTTGGGCTTCGACCCATTTCTCTTTCGTACCTGTCCTAGTCTAAACATGCAAAATAAATTTCAAGGAAATAAGACAACAAGGGCTTATGCCCATTACAAAATGAAATACAAAAATATAAAAATAAAGTAAAACGTCTTCTAATCCTCTTCTTCGAATTTCTTCAATCTTCAAGGGATTTCAATTTCGAGGAGCTGTCCACCGGATTTTATGACTTTGACTCGGCAAGAAGAAATCGAGCCTTTTATGGCCTTTCTTAAAGATGCCAAAGGGGAGAGTCCATTGGACTCGTTCGGAGAGAGAGTTATGCAAAGAAGAAGAAAGAAATAGAAATTAGTGATTTAACAAGAAAGGTCCAACATTAGTTTAATACATAAATAAACTCAAACAATACACAAATAATGCAAGTCGAGTATGTTAAACAATGGAGGAAACCAACAGAAACGGAGAAAGATTAATTTCCAAATCTAATCAAAAGCTTCATATTCAAACTAATAAATAACACCACCATAAGTTCAACCACGTACTTAAAACAAGAAGAAGATCATAATAGAAACATATTCAAGAGAAAAGGGCTCCAAAGCTCACATTGATTTAACCAACACACTACGTATAACAACAACTAAACAGAGGCTTCCTAATGCATCGACTATCAGGTAAATTCCTACTTGAACCCAACAGTTGACTAAGCCAAACGGAGTTCAAACAGATTCACCAAACTGTAGGAATAAACGAGTTTAAACTCAACGAGGCTCATGTCGAGATGAAGAATAACCTTAAACGCAACGTGACCAACAAAATCGAATTAAAAAGAAAAAGAAAAATAAGCATGGTCTCGACCTCTTTAGCAAATGCCATCTAGACCGAAATAAAGCACAGAGATACATTTTGAAAAGTCTAAAACATGGAACCAATGAAGACCCACAGCATTCGCAAGTAACAACAACGACTTATCATATCTCATCTAATATTGCGACAAAACGCGACTTAACAGATGATAACTTAAATAAACTTGACTTGAGGGGAAACGAAGGGATAGCAATAAACGAGCAGCCGAAAAAGAAGACGAAACACGAAAACGCAATGGAGAAACAACAACAACGAGATTTTCCATTCTTTCTCCTCCTCTTTTTTTTTCTTTATAGCAGCAGAACAAGCCAACGAATAGAGAAGACCAACAACGAATATCATTTATCACGTGACATCGAAACCAGACGCGACTTAGACAACAACAATTAGCTACTTAACGTGAGAAAGAAACAAAAAAAACTAAGATGAAAATAGAAGAGCAGCAATCAAAGCATGGCAACACATATAAACGAGCCAGACTATTATTACATGAAAAACAACAGACGCAGCCAACAAGAAGATTTTAAAATAATAAAGAAACGGGGGATGTACCTTCCTCGGAGCAGCAGAACGGGGACGATACGAGCAGGGGATGGGGACGACTACCACCGTGCGAGCACGAACACCAGTCCAACGCAAGCTAGCTTAGAAAACTTCCTCCTCTCCTTTCTAAGAACACGAGACAAGTCTTCCTCTGTAGACACCTCTGTGATAAGAAAATCTAAACAAGGTTTCTAATCCCCCCTGTTCATCCAAAAGGTCTAACCCCTCAGAATTTCAAACCTCTGAAATTTGAACTCTAAATTGTCCAACTACGATAAAACCGAAAAGCAACAGAATACTCTCGAATTTTATCTCAACCTTTTTGTGATGGAACCCCAAAAAAATTCCCAGAAAAATCGTCCCCCCCCCAAGTTTCTAACACTTTGTCTTAAAAATCTATTTCCGAAAATCCAACAAAAATCGCTAACCCCTTTTTGAAGAGAGGTGGGGGTTTATATAGGTGAAGCTAGGGTTTCGAGGGAGCGGGTAAGACGATTTCTGCCCATTTTGAATTTGAAATTCAAAATTCCGCATCTGAAGGAATATGCCACTTTGATGCCAAGATTCCCAATGGAATCGAGTTGAGGTGGAGGGACGAGATTATTCCATCGTCCCTTTGCCCTTGCGTGGCTCGAATCCGCATCGCAAGGACGGAGTCGTGTTGTTTTGCACTGCAAGTCGTACGAAAAAGGGAGATGTCGCAGAGGCTGCAGAGGTCCGTTGGGTTATTTCGTTCCTCCACGCGCTAGAGAGAGAGGGAGAGAGGTGGGGGGAGAGTATCTCGCGTGAGAGACGCGGGAGAGAGGGCGTGGGGGCAACGCGGTTTCTGTTGGGGTCGCGTGGGGGAGGGTTTGGCGTTTCTGGGTTCTGTTTGCTGTTCTGGCAGGAAAAAACGTGAGGAAAGGGGGAAGAAAGGGGAGGCTGGGTCGGGTCAGGGGGACGGGTCAAAAGGCGGGTTATGGGTTTAAGTTTAGTGGGTTGGGTTGGAAGTTTGGGCCTAGGTGTTGGGCTGTCTAGGTTGGGTTGTTGGGTAATTAAAAAATTGAAAGAGGGAGAAGTGGGAGAATTGGGGGACGTTTGGGCCTGAAGGGAACTTGGGCCTGGATTGGAAGAGGAGGGGTGTGGGCTGATGGGGGGAAATTGGGTTGGTTTCAAATATACACAAGATATACCGGCTATATACACAACTATGTAAACGTTAAATAGTTATATTTTTTACAAAATTATAAAACTAATTAATTTAAATTATTTGGAGAACTCATGAAGCTCACTAATTGAATTACGCCGACGTGGGTCAAAATTGGGTGTCAACACAGATGAAGCCACAATAGCTGTGAATGCAGTTACAGCTTATAAATCTTGGAGTTTTAGGGGAAGTGACGCCTATTCCAGTTCATAAACACTTATTTTATCATTGATGTTTATTCTGTGACTAGTTTCTGGGTACGCGCCACGCGCGTGTGGCCATATATAAATAAAAATATTTTTGTGAAGATTGTATATTAACAATATTTTAAAGTTATATTATGTGTTATAAAATAGAAAATACAAACTACATGTTCTTAAAATTGATATGTATCCTATATGGTATTTTCATTTCTAGGATCCAAAATCCAAAAAACTATACGACTACAATATTTAAATGAATAAGTGAAATGTTATGTGCTACTTTAATGAAATATGTTAAAACCAGTAACATATAGAAATCTTTTACCGTAAAACTATTGTTGTGTGTTGCACATATTAAGCCCTAGCAAGGAAATAAAATAATAAGTGTCATGGTGTATTCT